TTTCTACTTAGATTTGCTATTGGTGATCCCGAAGAGTGGAGTGGGAGTTGTAAATAACTGAAACTTTCTTTTATGTCAGCACTATGCAAGTGTAGCATTTCCCCTCCATCTTTCAATAGCTCTATTGATGTCTGAAAGTGCATTGCTCTTTGCAGAGTTCATTAAGTTTTTAAATATTCTGTGCTCAATGTTAATCCTGTTTGCAAAAATAACATATTAAAATCTTTGAACCTGACAATTTGCATTGGTCCCTGCTAGTTGTCTCCCTGAACAGTGTTCCCCGTCTGATTGTTGGTTAGAACCTTAGGTAGGCTGCAGCAACAACTTCTGGAGAGATGATAGTGTTACATTAATAGTTAAAAGAAACTTCAGTTTCATATTCTCCGGAGAGAAAGTTTCGTTGATCCTAGTGTACAGTCCACACAACATTTTACAGAGAAAACTTCAGACAGGTCTTTGTCTCAAGGAAATTACAGTTTAGAGTAATTCCGACTGAAAGGAAGGGAGACAGGAGGAAACACAATATATGTAACATAAATGGTTGCCTTTACAGCCACTAGTAGCTTCCGCAATTTAAAATAAGATCCAAAATATAAGTACTTCGTTTGAGTCGCAGTCAAGTTCATTTTGTATTACTGCTTAGTTAAAGTAGGGGCTGTGGCAGGCACTGCTCACAAGAGCAGACATTCCAAGTTGAGTCACATGGAAAAAGGTCTGAGCAATCAGCAGGCTTAAATTGGGCTTAAGTGATGGTTTTGCTTCCTTCTGTTGTCAAAGAACCAGGGTGTGAAATTCCGCAAAAATTGAGTCAGTTCATTGGGGCCAAGCCTTATTAGCGCCTGTGAACGGTAGCTTCCTACCCTGTTTATCTACTTAGCTAAAATAAATGGCTCTCACATCTAGTACTCGTTACTTTTCGTTGAGGAAGTAATATAAATGGAGCAGCTAATGAAATTGCTTTCCCTCTCCTGTGGCTCCGGAAGTTCAGCCTCGCTCAAATGTTTTGGAGGCAAGTTTAGTAGAAGAAAGGCTTTTAATGCTAGTGTCTCTGTCTCTGTGTCTTTTACTCCACAGAGAAGCTGGAGTAAAAGAACGGGGGAAATGGGGGGGAAAAAAGCCTCACTGTGAGAGAAACAGTAGCTCCTTGTTGTGAAAACATTAAGCATGTCTTTGAAAACAACCTTTCATTAATGATGTTGCAATTAAAAATAAATCTCAAAATTGCTAGGAGGAGACAAAAGGTTTATAATTTTCTGACAAAATTGTCTTTTCTTTTTAACTTTGCATTACAAAGCACACTAGTGGTCTTGTTTTAATTTAGTAAATATGGGAAGATGCATTTTTAAAGTATTGCTACCATGCAGCACCTCAGTTCACTTTTTTGCACTTCATTTGCAACTTCCAGGTGAATCAGTTTTAGCTGGGAGAGGACAATATTAGAAATCTGAGTTACCAGTTTCCTTTCCTTATAAAAGCATTTTATCTATATTTAAGAAGTCATCCAAAAGAGTTCAAAGAGAGTGAGGTCAGTCGAACAAGATAAAGGCACTTGTTTTAGGTGGCAGCAGAACGTCACTGATTAGAGGGACTCACTGATTAGTTTGACTCACCCTGAGGCATTTCCAAAGAGGGTTTTGTGAATTGTGGAGTGGGGAGTCTGTATGCTAAGATTTATTTGTATCCGCTCAGTATGCATAAGAAGTTATCTTTATTTGTTAGATGGGTGTTTTGCCAAAGTTTAATAGAAGTTCCAGGAGAAGGGAAAAGACAATCTTGCGGCTAGAGCACGGGACTGAAAGCCGAGTTCATATTTTTCCCTCTGCTTAAAGGGAGATTCATTGCGGAATATTTGATTGCACTGTGCCTCCATTTCCTTTATCTTTTCGAAAGGATAACCTCCCTCATTAATCAAGCTGAGAACCAAGTCACTAATTTTTGCCTAATGCCTTGAAGTCTTAAAAAAAATAATATTTTCTCTATTTTAATTATTTTGTCCTAGAAGTGCATGGTAGGGAGGTGCAGTCGGTCAACTCTGATCAAAGTTCAAATCAGTGCTAGTGTATTAGTTTTGTATGACACAGATATTTTGCAAAGTGGTTAGCCGTGGGGAGGAGATAATAAAGGGGAACAGGAGAGTATCATCAGGATCTAACTTTTTTCTTCTTGCAAAGGACAGTGGCAAATGAAAGCTGTAATTTTCGCTGCGTGCCTAGGGACGTGCATTGCTAAATAAGAGCACTTCTGTTCAAGCGATTCCAACTGCTCGCGTGCCCAGTTCCAAATAATTTGTCAGTATTTGCAGAACAGGGATTCTAGTGTCATCTGTCCTTTTACTCCTTACATTTTATTACTTATTGTATTATTTTAAGTCTTTTTTGCATTTAAAAATGAGATGCACATTGATAACAGATCAAGTTCTCAATTGCTGTTGTTCTTAGCTCTTAAATGTGGCACTGTATAAATCTGTTTATCAAGAAATATTTGTAAAGATCACTCAGAAGTGCCGGTAAGCAGTAGTGTTCAACTCCCATATAAAGTGCTGTAAAATTACCATGAACCAGACCTGCATTTTATAGATGCGGATCTGCACTTTGTACTTCATGACAGGAAGAGATTTTAGAATGTGTTGTGCCGTGACACCACAGCTTGATATTTGGGGAAGTAACTCTCCCTTTCTGTTGTATAGAACTAAAAAATGAGCCCATTTGCCCAAGGTTTAAACAACAGTTTAACAATACTTTTATCAGCGTGTTCTCATTCTTCTTTTGCTCCACTGAAGGGTGTGACGTTTTTTTAAAAAATCCGGTGATACAGATGCAGTAGATTGTTACAGGAAACACTCACTGCACACACAGATCTGTATTTCTTGATTTTTCTCTGTCTTAAGCCATCTTCTCATTGCGGTATTGCTTACTCTTCCTTTTTATTCTCCATTTCCTCTACCCCAGAACTGTACTTGAAGAAAACTTGGAAAATTAGCAAGTGAAAGTTAAAGCTGTCACAAGATATACTGTGCAATTCTGTTTGCGTTTTTTCTGTCTTCTGTTTAAAAAGCTTGGGAGAAGGGAGGGAGGGGAACTGCTGTTTATTGCCCAGCCCCTTCTGTCTCCCTTCCTGTTTTGTCATCTCTTGTTCTTTTTCCTCTTTTTATTTGACTTCCTCTGTGCCTCAGTTGAAACACTTCATTCTGAAGGGCAGACTACACTCTGCTTTTGTTCAGCCATCACCGTATAGGTAATGAACAACGAGGTTGCATTTTAGCTACTGCCACAGTGCAGGTATTTAGTTTCTGGGGCGTAGATTCGAGAAGTATTGGACCCTTTATGCCTAAGAAATGGCTATTGTCAGAGAACCAGTAAAGCCAGATTCAAATGCTGTAGTGTTACCCAAAAGTAAGGTCCAGAATACAGGAACAGGATGTGGTTATGAATTGTAAGAAGAAACACATCTGCAGCGTCTACATGCATCTGGCAATTTAGAAAGCTTCGCAGATCAGCTTTTTAGATAGACTATAATATACACTTAGGCCCAAAAAAGCTTGAGGTGCAGGACTACAGGAATGCTTTGTGTAGGAGTTGCACCTTGGTAAATGTATTGTCATAAACATATGCTGTGGCGTGGCTCGTGCTTGAGAACATCCGGAGATAATTTGAATACCTCTTTCAAGATCCAGTCCAAGACTGTTGGATGTGCTGTAAAATGACAGACTGGTCAATATGGCAGCTTATGCAGTTGAATACCCTCTCTCCTCTTCTCAAGTCTGTCGCCTTATACATATTTAGACTGAGATTTCTAGAGCCCTTAAGTTACCATTCTAAACCAATCTCTCTTCTTGTGGGAAGGCTTTCAGATAGTAGGGTAACAAAGAGTGCCTACTCCCTTGTCACTCAATTCTCCTAATATAATCTGTGGCTTGATATACTGTGCAGGATTCCGTGTAAGCATGCTGTTTATTTTACAGTACCAAACTTTGGCAGTAAGTTCACTGGTGTTTCTGGGGATACAAAAATAGCCTAGTGTAAGTGTAGCCTAAGTAGTGCGTGTCCTATGGACTAAATACTGTTTTGGTTGCAAGTTTATTTATATAACCATGCAAAATTTACAGTTTAAGAACCTAAAGTGCAGAGAACCTATAAACATTTTTTAAAAAAAAAAAATTCTATATAAATGCTTCCTTTGCACTTTAGGCAATTAAATATGTACCTCTCTGCATTAAGATTATCTTTTTGGGGCTTTGACACTGACAGTCTCTTAAAGTTGCCCTATTGAAATAAACATTGCCCGCTTCGTGGAATTATAAACACTGTAGTTTATTCTAAGCGTCTAAACAGAACATCATTATCAGTTGTACGTTACATAAGTAGGGCTTGGATGACCATTGGTCATTTTTGTTTCAAGTCTAGCAATAATTTCGAATTAATAACAACCATAAGTAAGTGTGAAAAAATGGTGCAGACGTTCATAACTGTTATATTTGTTTCTTCTTTCCTTAATCCTGGAGCATTTGACTCAGCTGACATTATTAATAGAAATATATATAACTTGAGGGTGGCTTTTCATGTGATTCAAGCTATACTTTGCCTGAGAAGTCAGTGGTAACATGGTGTGCCAGGTGTGCACAAGGGGCAGGTTATACTTAGCTGATCAACTGGCCTATTACCTTCAGAACTTGTGCTGCTGGTTTGAGTATTTTCATTGATACAAGCATACGACAAACGCATTCAAGCAGATTGAGAGTTTAAGAAAAGGAGTTCAGTTGGATTTGGGGGTTGTAGGTGAATGTTGTGGTTAGAAAACATGCTATTGACGCTATTTTTTTTTCTTTTTTTAGGGCAGGTTAAAGTATTCAGAGCCCTGTACACGTTTGAGCCCAGAACGGTAAGTATGTTCACATTTTAGTGTCTCTCTTTTTTTTTTTTTTTAATCCCATGCGTAATAAGATCTTACTGAATTTTACTTGGGTTGCCCTGTCGTAGTTGCTGTACTACAGTTTCAATGCAAAAAACCTTCAAAGTTGATGGATCTCAACTCTTAAATATATCTATAACTGGCTGATATATTGCCAATTTCTCCTTGCTCAAGTCCGGCTCTTTCTAAAAGCGTTGTCTTCTGCTCTGGTACCAGTTTCCTGCAGTCTTAAGATAAGCAGACTGAGGGATTACCCCCCCCACCCCCACCTTCTTCCAAAGGCAATAAAAATAATTCAGACAGAGAGATCTGATGAAGTGGGACCAACCAAAAAGCTAAGATATTAGCAAATGCTAGATATAGTCCACTGCTAATTGTTGTGAGCTGTAGGAAGACTACAGCCCTTTTTATTTATTTATTTATTTTTTTAACCTATCAGGAGGGTCATAGAGCCAAAGAGTTAGCTGTAGTTTGACTTGCTTACAGTATGAAAGACTGTCAGACAATTGTCTTCTTCCTGGAGAATTTGAGCTATTGTAATTTTGAAAGAAGAGCTGAAGGTACTCTGCTTTTCCCATGCGTATGTTTTCCCTAGGTACGTGCATTCAGAACTTCATTTACTTTTTTTTGTTGGTTTTTTTAAGCCAGATGAACTGTACTTTGAAGAAGGAGATATCATTTACATCTCAGACATGGTAGGTCTGACACATCCTATATGGACCGAGTATTTCTGAGATGCAGCATTATCCCTTCTAAACTCTTTTCCCCTTTCTCTCTAGACTGATACAAATTGGTGGAAAGGAACTTGCAAAGGGAGAACTGGATTAATTCCAAGCAACTACGGTAATATCTAAAATATTTTCCTTTGGTAAGGTCATTCACAGTCAAAGGAAATTGCTAAATGAAAATTGCTTATCTGCTTATTTCCAGAACCTGTGATAGCAATATTGATATGTAACTGTCCTCTACCAGAGCATTTCAAAATACTCTAGTGCTTCACTCTCAGTCACCACTATACATGGGCTATATACAGGCTGTTGTAAGTTTTTTTGCTATCTACAGACAGACAACTTGAGTTTGGCAAGTTCATGTTGCTAGGTGTGTAGGTACCAGCAAGAGACACCTTCAGTCTTGAGGAAATTAGTGTTCAGTCTGTAAAATCACTAGTAAAGTGATAGGTTTATATCTTGATAGGCTTACTGGAAGC